ACGGATTGTGCAATTTTCTGCAGTCTAAAGTTTCATGTTGTCTGCACATGTACTTTCTTTGGAGACACCATCTGTCTCCCAACAAATCGGAAAATGATTAAGATAGTGACTCTGATTGATTCACATATTGTATTTACATATGACTGTTGACATTGCTTTTCAGTCTCCACTATTTAAGTGAGTCGTGCTTTGGAAATGACAATAATTTTTTATTACCCAACCCTTGAGTTGTTTTGTTTTTTATTTCCCCAACCTTTTACTTACTCAAAATTTTGATCACCCAACCCTTTTCTCTTCGGTGCCACCCCCCGCCTTAAATAATGACCGCTCCCTTAGTTGAACGATTTTTGCAAGCTCTTCCCTCTTGTCGAGGGAAGTGTTGAGGGAAGAGCCTGGGAACGAGGTTGCGAATTTTGTAGATGGAAATTTTGAGCGGTCGTCCCGAAGAAGGCGAAGTGATTATCGGGGAATATTCGCCGAGACGAAGTCGAGGTGAATATTTCCCTATAATCACAGAGCCTGAGGCGAATATTTGTTTTAGTATTTTTACACAGGTCTTTTGTGTTTTTTGGGATTGAATTTATTTTAATTTCGCTTATTTCTTCCACAAAACGGCTAGCCGCGATTTTGAAAATGTTATATTCACTATTGTATTCACTATTGTAAAAATACTAATGGTTAATGGTCCACCTATAACACAGCCTGGACTTCTTCTACAGTGTATATTGGTCCAGTGTTACTACAGGAGAAAACTTAATTAAACTGAGCTAACATTATTCATACCAAATATCTTCATGAAATATATACGGTATTCATTTTCCCCTCATTTGTTCAGGGGATGGGAACAACTTGAAATGACTTGCAATCCAACCCAGAAACACGAAAACAGTAAATGGAATGTTGAGTCACACGTCAACGACAGAGGTATATTTAGACAAGTGTTCTTTGCAAAAATGTACTTATAAATCTGAGAACCTTCCAATAGACATATCTTCTTGCATTTTGACAATTTGTTTCTTTTGTTAGTAACAAACTTTTAGCAATGTGTTATAATTTCCTAGAGTCACTAATATCAGTGGTTGTGAACACATGTTTTGTGTAATATGATATAAAATTTGTGTTTTTGTTCTTCCAGTTCCCAAAGCTAGCCCAGATTTGTTTTATCCATCGTTTCTTGAGAGTGTTTTTGAATCACATGCTGTTATGGCCCAGGTACTACAGTTTAAATATACTTACTGTAATTGCGGAAAAAATATATAAATCCACAACTCATAAGCCAGTCTACTAATCGGGATCTATAGTAATTCATGGCTGATGGCTAATTATCACGTCGTGATTTCGCATCTTGAATGAAGACTTTTTGAAGACACATTTTTTAAATGATTTTTACGGTCGCAGGCACACAAAAAAGTTAACAATCTGCTGCGATTTTAACTGCGATTTTCGTCTTCTGATGGATGTGAATGAGTGGATGAGTTATGAATGTTCAGATGAGGATACATCGGTGAGATACACACTCAGAACATTCCGAACTTATTTACTCGTTCACATGCATCAGAAGGAGAAAATCGCACTGGCAGAAATTGCAAGTGTAAACGGGCCTTATCAATCTGAAGCTTCCTTATTGTTTGCACTACCTACACCAGGGTTCGTACAAAACTTGAAAGGCCTTGAATGTCCTTGAATTTGTAAAGATTGAAGTACTTGAATGATATTTGCTGTGTTGGTGTAATGTATTCAGGTGAATAAGATGCTTGTGTGATGTTACTCTGAGTGTATATGTATATCCACACCGGGCAGGCTTGAAAAGTATGCCTGGCCACGGTGGGATTCGAACCTACGACCTTTGGAATACCAGCCCAATGCTCTGCCAACTGAGCTACGTGGTCAAGTCGGTTCGATTATACGATATTTCGGAACTGAGTCTAGTTCCTTAGGCTGAATACCTTGGGCTGGTATTCCAAAGGTCGTAGGTTCGAATCCCACCGTGGCCAGGCATATTTTTCAAGCCTGCCCGGTGTGGATATACACTCAGAATAACATCACACAAGCAAGTACTTGAATGTCCTTGAATTCTTCTTGCTTTAGTTTTTGGATATTTGCTGAAATTGTTTGACATTCAAAACGGACATTTTGTTGAACTGATTTTGCATGTTCATATATGACCTCATTATAAAGTTACGTTTTGAACAATTCAACGTCAGATTTTGCTGATTTCTAACGCCTTCTATTCAGTATTTAGTCCTTGAATTTGCTGATACATGGCCTTGAATGTCCTTGAAAAGTCTTTGAATTTGACTCTTCCTGACATGTACGAACCCTGCTACACTCGACAGACTGTTCAGGTTTAATTGCAGTATAGACCCATTGCACATGACGTCACAGCGCCGGTGATGATGCATTTGGAGGACAAATTAGCAATCTATGCACAATATAACTTTTGTAAAGAAAGCAAATTTTGTAAAACTTTACAATAATTTTGTATTAAAATGGTTAATTTTCGCGCTGTATGTGGTTGTTGTACCCGAACAGATATTGTTAGGGAGCATCTGGAGGACACTCTAAGGATTTGTGGCGTCAGTGCAATGGGTCTATATACGACATGCAGTATTCTAAGGCCCCGTTATTTGCATGAGACTGGGACGAAGTCAAACCGGAATAATAATTGAAATTGTTAACATGTTTACATGAGACCGGTATGAAAATCACAAAATTTTCAATTTATTCCCCTTGCCAGGCAATTTTTTTTTTAGATGGCTTTTGTTAGCATGTGTTGTTCCAATGTCAAGGTTACAGCCGAGACCGGTCTGAAATGTATTTGTGTTTACATTCATCCCAGTGTGAATTCATGCCGGTCTGAAGTCAGTCGGCTCGGTCCAGCAGGCGGAATGCCTTGAGACCGGTCTGAGTTATTTTCGTCCCAGTCTCATGTAAACATCTACTATAAATAATACTATGACCGAAATGAAATGGTCCCGGTTTGACTTCGTGCCGGTCTCATGTAAACGGGGCCTAATATGGAAGTTTGATTAATATATTCTCATTGAAACAAACTTGTAGACGAACAGCGGATTCAAACCAAAAGAAGGTGAAGTGACGTCACAACCTTGGCAATGGCCGATCAACTATCGGGTAATTGATTTATTGAAATCTTATTGCACTACACTTTGAGGTGTTTTATAATCACTATAATGATTAATGACTTTGAGAAGATGGCACTATAAAAAATCTCAAAAACCAGCAGTGGTAGATCCCGCAAGGTTTTTTAGGGAGGTCACCGAACCCAGCGCTGGTTAGCAGCGTACTGTCATGAAAGTGCACCTAAAGTAGTTTCTTGGTTACAATTTACAGATATGTTGAATAAATATAATTTAATAATTATATAAAAGTATAAATCCCAGATTCTCTTGATACTGTGATTGTGCCTACAATAGCGCGCTGAAGTTCGATTACCTTTTTTTTATACACCCTGTATTACTCAAATTACTGTATCTCATTTTGTCTCTAATATCTTTTTGCTTTATCATGAAAAATTGCACCCCCTCTGGCCAGGGCTAGGGGCTGCGCACCCCCCGCCGGTAAATCCATCCCTGGAATATAGTGTTTTGGGCACGTTCTTTAAAATTTCTATATATTTATTAGGGTCAAGTTTTCTCTGGCGGAGATCAGAGAGTGTATTTACTTGGAAATCCGGTAAGTTAGCGATTTTGCATCTACATGCTTCATAGCAAGATTAGCGTGTATAGATTTGGTTGCTATCAAATTGCTTGTAATTGCGGAATACCCTAGCCTCCTCCGCAGGCATCCCACCCGGGGAATCGGGTAGTCGGAACACCCATTCGCAGGCTAAAACCAAATATAGAGATGCCTGCGGAGGAGGCTGGGAATACCCTCTTTTCATTGATATTTGCTTACAATGCAAATATTGGAGAATTATTCAAACCGTGTTCTAATGGATAGTCCTAACACCACTCTCTTGTGCAGGTCATTTGGTGGATGATTCTCTCTACAATCTTTCTGTTTGGTTTGATATTTGCATACAACGCTGTTCGAGAAAAGCGAGGTTATGTGGATACTCCAGTGGAGAAAGGTATGCCTCATTAGAGAAGTTCAGATTTTGACTTCCACTATCGCCACCATTGCCATTATCCAATCAGATGCATTTAAGGTTACAGGACACCCTTTATGGCGTTTTGCGGAAAATCGCTACTGCGCGCTCAATATCAGTCCGATTTTCATCAAATTTTCACCAAATGTTCTCCAGTGCATGCAAAATACGGTAAAGTTGTAAAATTAACAAACAATAAAATAATGTAAGAATTATTCAGGAAAATCTTAAATCGCGGTACCGTTACGCTTTTGAGTTGTGCTCCTGCTGGTTTCAAGTTATATTTATGAAAATATCATTTTTATACAGTAAAATAGTTGTTCTAAAAAATTGTGTTCGGAAATTTTTGTTTATGTCGTCATTCCGCTGATATTGCGATTTCTTTGACGACTGCAATATATTTTTGAATTGTTTGAGTGAATTGCTTTTTATTTTTAAAATATCCAAAATTAAAAAAAAGCCGAACACAATTTTGAAACGGACGTCTTTAGCTATGTCCTGTGAAAATTTGAGAAAAATTGGTTAAAACCCGCAGGAGCACAACTCGTTTGTAAATCAGTAATTACCGTAAACTTTTTCGGGAGAAAATTGAATTTGAATATTACATTTTCAATGTTTTTCTTCTTGCAGCGAAATGTATTTTATTAAATAACTCTGCGAGTTTTCAACATTTTTTGTTCAAACTTGGTCAGATAGTAGAACTAGTCTAATGCTTTCATGGAAACGAATAAAACAATTTTAGGCAAAATTAACACTCAAAGGTGTTCTGTAACCTTAATCTACACACGCAAGTTGTTACAGATCTGCACATGAGTTGTAACAAGGTTGTTGTCAAGCCGATATCAGGATCCACTGCTTGTTCCCAATTGTTGCGACAAGTCTAAGGGCCTGTTCATATGATCCCGCTTACCGGGACGTCTCGCTTACCGATGATCTCGCCGCCTATCTATTTTCCTATAAAATTTTGCATTGTGTTCATATGAGAAAGCGAGCTGGCCCGCTTGCCGAGATCTCGTTTGAATTTGCCGAGATCATAGGTAGGCGGGATAAAAATTTTTCCATATGAACACGCCAGCCCGCTTACCGGGATGAAGTCAAACAAGTCTTGCCGGTTTAATTTAACACTTTTTACTTGGTTTTATGTTTGTTTTGTAAACAAGTATTAAATATGCACCTGAAGCAATACTTTTTCTTGTAAATAAACGAAGAAAAACACTAAAATCGCTAAGTATTTGTATTGCTTGACTGAAATGTAGAAGTTTTGCATATGCTAATTATAGAACTACAATGTAATTTCATCTCGGCAAGCGGGACGAAATATTCCATATGAACGCACGGAAATATTCGTCTCGGTAAGCGAGACGTCCCGGTAAGCGGGATCATATGAACAGGCCCTAAGGGCCTGTTTATTTGGAGGCGAGTTACTCGGCTGCATCATGTAAACAGTCACCCGGGATTAAGTTTCTATAAATTCAGAGCCGTAGCGTAGAGAGGCTACCAAAGCAAAGGAAGTGTAATATCGCATTTGCCTATAACCAAACGAGAATGAGAGTTGGCAAACGAGTGCTTGCATGAGAATTTTCTCAACTCTCAAACGAGAACAAGAGTTGCATGAAATGTTAGACAGATTTAGATCGAGGACGCGGACGTCAAAGACGACGTGAAAATGGCATGTTGTGCCCATGTATGGATATGCCACGCCATTTTCACGTCGTCTTTGACGTCCGCGCCTCGATCTAAATATGTCTATTATCGCTTGGATATCATCACTTGCGTAGCGAACATTCTCATCAAAATTTGAACCAGAACCAAACTCTCATCCTCGCTTTAACCAGGGCTTAAAACTTTTTCCCATTGGCCCCCGCGGTTATTTTACCCGATTCCTCCATATAGATTGAAACTTTATATAACTAACTTTTTACCAACCGCCATTTTTGGTTTCATTATTTTAGCACGTAAAAGTAAATTCACGTCCGTGATTGGTTGGCTTCTACTCGGATGGGCTCTGCATTATTTTCCGTTCTTCTTGATGGGACGAGTTCTATATTTTCATCATTATTTTCCCGCGTACCTTTTCAGCGCAATGATTGCTGGTAAGGCGAAATATCCAATCTTCTTTTTCAATCGATTCCAGTGCTATAGTTGTTTTTCATCAGCTTTTTAGGTTAATTTGCTACCTTTTCCTTGTTAGCCGGTATCTTAATGAAAAGCTTAGTATTAGCCTAATCCAGTAGTGGATTCAGCAAGGGTTTTTTTTTTGGGGGGGGGGGGGGGGGGGGGGGGGGCAGAAGGGAAGGAAAAAAGAATTTTTTTCTGGAAGCACAAACTGGAGATAAAAATTTCCTGCAGACCAACGGAGTATTTTTGTGCTAAATCTGCATGTGCATAAACATATAGTGTTCTAACTGACCATGGTTTTAAATTCAAGGAATAATGTCTGTCAACCATATGTTGTTGTGCCCATAGTGGGACATGGGTGTTAAGGTTTTTTGCAAGCTGTTTAACATTTCCTGCGAGCAGTGCTCGCGTGCTCGCCTATTTTTTCTACCCCCAGCGAGCAGCCAACACATTTGAATATTTGATTGCTTTTGTAATTTTTATTATCAAGTACTTTGAATTTAAGAATTTGAATTGAACTTGATTCTTTTGGAAATCACAAAAACCACATTCCGTAATTGCTATATTAGCTGTCAATGATTCATATATATATAACGAAGGCAATCGATCATCTCTGAGTTGTAATCATGATTATTTTTTTCAGGAATTGTTTTAGAATATTTCTTTGAAAGTGCGTCGTCATTCATCAATGCTCCAGAGTATAGAAATATGTTTTATTATTCTCTTGTCACTCTTGTTCTTATCATCTGTATCGTTAGGTAAGTACTGTAAACTGAACTCAACTGAACTAAACTAGAAACTTATACTGGATAGCTGTATCAGTTTTAAACTCGGAAGTTCAGCAAAGGCCATCTAATTGTATGGATCTGGTGTACATACTACAGGAGGAAACCTAAACTAACCTAACTTTTTTATATTGGATAGCTCTATCACGCAGATCTAAAATGTTCTTCCCAGAGTTTCAGTATGGGCCATCTTATATGGATCCAGCTAGTGTTACTACTACAGGGGAAACCTAAACTAACCTAACTTTTTATTATTGGATAGCTCTATCAAATCTAAACTGTTCTTCCCGGAGGTTCAGTATGGGCCATCCCCATTTGATCCAGGAGAATTCCAATGCATAAAACCTGATCTTGAGTTTCATTCTTCCTCTTGCAGTTTCTGGCTATTTCACGGTCTTTCATATGGTATGTCAGGCCCAATGTCGCATCAAGATAACTGTACTCATGCAGCTTACAAATGGATGGATTCTTGGGAGATATGAAGAGATTTACACATTGAACAAATTTCTTTCGTGTCCATCTTTTTGGCTTTACTTTTAGTGCTTAGTAAAAAATTGCTCATATTGAGCTCATCGGAAGTATTCAATTAGCTATTCTCACGCCGCCATTTTTGGATGGCTTTTCAGCCGAAGTCTGCGAGATAAGTCCACATAACAGGGACTTTTTTTAAGTTTTTGGACGAATGATGGTAAATTTGCTTTGTAAATGGTTAGTTTATTTTGAAAAATTGCTTTTCACATTGTTTTCATTGTCTGCATTGGTTAACGAGATTTAGATGCCACCCAAAAATGGCGGATATTCGTCATCGTGAGAAAGGCTAATTCTGTGAGCCCAAAATGAGTAATATTTTAAGTACTAAAAGCGAAGCCAAAGTTTGGCTTAAAAGTAAAAGTAGATATCGCATTTCATTAACAGTCTTGTGGTTCCTTTTGCCAATGGCCGTTCAATAAACGGACCCACAAACGTTGGTTGTTAGCCCGACACCATTCAACAAGACTACACGCCTCCGCCAGCGAATTAAGGGACCGGTCATTATTTATGGTGGGGGTTGGCACCGAAGAGGAAAGGGTTGGGTAAACAAAATTTTGAGTAAGTAAAAGGTTGGTTAAATGAAAAACAAATTAGGTAATAAAAAAAATTATTGTCATTTCCAAAGCATGACTCACTGAAATGTTGGAGACTAAAAAGCCATGTCAACAGTCATATGTCAATACAATATGTGAATCAATCAGAGTCACTATCTTGATCATTTTCCGATTTGTTGGGAAACAAATGGTGTCTCCAAAGAAACAACATGTGCAGACAATATGAAACTTTAGACTGCAGAAAATTTCACAAGCCGTCATCAAACTCATGTCACAGAAGTGGTAAAGGACATGTGTGACAACTGAATGGTATCCTTTTGTAAAGTTTTTGGCCAGGGGTGGGTATTTATTTTTTAATTGATAGTTGAGGTTGAGTAATCAAATTTTTGACTTTCTAATGGTTGGGTCAGCAAAATTTTTTCCACGAAAAACATCCCTCTTCGGTGCCACCCCCCACCATAAATAATGACCGGTCCGTAAGTTATGAATCATGCATAAATTATACAACGGGCTAATTACGCATTCAGTTTCAGCTAATTACGCATCAAGAAAGCAAGAAAACTTTTTTCCCCAACCTTGATGGAGATTGCCTGACAAACATCATAAACTTCCCATAACTTCCCTTTCATCACTTACCCGATTTTTAAATAGAATTGCCCTATTTTCCAATAGACATGGGTTGGGGGGGAGGGGCTGCGGCTCCTCTTTCGTACGCCTATGAAGATGTTGGGGGCCAACATTGTAGTGCCCGTATAGGAAAGGATCTGAGCCTTTAGTGCTCGGGGCCGGTTGTTCTAAAGCCAGTTAGCTTACCACTAAGTTAAGGTTACAGGACACCCTTTTAGCGTTTTGTGGAAAATCGCTACTGCGCGCTCAAAATCAGTCCGATTTTCGTCAAAATTTCACCAAATGTTAGCTAATGCATGCAAAATATGATAAAGTTGTAAAATTGACAAACAATAAAATGATGTTAGAATTATTCAGGAAAATCTTAAGTCGCGGTACCTTTACGCTTTTGAGTTATGTTCCTGCTGGTTTTAAGATATATTTATGAAAATATCATTTTTATACAGTAAAATAGTTGTTCTAAAAAATTGTGTTCGGAAATTTTTTGTTTATTTCGTAATTCCGCTGATATGGCGATTTCTTTGACGACTGCAATATATTTCTGAATCGTTTGTGTGAATTGCTCCTTATTATTAAAATATCCAAAATTAGAACAAAGCCGAACACAATTTTGAAACTGACGTCTTTAGCTATGTTCTGTGAAAATTTGAGAAAAAATTCGTTAAAACCCGCAGGAGCACAACTCGTTTAAAAATCAGTAATTGCCGTAAAATTCTTCGGGAGAAAATTGAATTTGAATATTACATTTTCAATGTTTTTCTTATTGCAAGCGAAATGTATTTTATTAAATAACTCTGCGAGTTTTCAACATTTTTCGTTCAAACTTGGTCAGATAGTAGAACTAGTCTAATGCTTTCATTGAAACCAATAAAAAAATTTTAGGCAAAATTAACACTCAAAGGTGTTCTGTAACCTTAAACAAACAATCTATCTATCTATCTATCTATATATATATATATATATATATATATATATATATATATATATATATATATATATATATATATATATATATATATATATATATATATATATATATATATATATATATATGTTTTTCTACAACAGCATATTAACTCTCCTTTCCAGGTGGTGATACAAAATTTCACGAAAAGTATGAAATAGACCCTACGACTATGAATAAGGTCAAGGAATACGTCACTAAACGAGTCACTCAAATATCAGACCTAATAAAGGCAGAGTGTAGCTATTTCGACTTTCTGCAACTTCGAGGATCAGCCGAGGAAAATTTGAAGATATACTATCCGGATGAATTTGATTTTGTCCTTTTGAGTGAAAAGTGGAAAGATAAAATTACTTTCAACGAAAGACAAAACCTTCCGGGATTTGCGTACGCGATGCGACAAGCTTCAAGGTGTCTGGATGAGTACTTTATACTTATACTTTATACTTTATTTAGAAATGGTAAATACATTGCAGCCATGAGCTGAATTGCGTATTATACTTACAATTAAAAATTATTAAAATTAGAGTTTTGAAATATATCAAAGTATTATGATTAATTAACTAAATTGTCAAAAGTGTCTGTTTATAATAAGCATGCAAAAGTTATTAAGAATATAAAATAAGTAAATGAAGAGTAAAACCTATTCGGTTTTGCTACTCGATGCCATAATAAAACTATTACTAAACCGATTGGTTTTACAAACTGGAACGTCAAATGATCTAATAGATCTCAGGTCGTGGATGGAGTTATGCCTTGGCGGCAAGAGGTAATGTAGACTGTGATTAGAATCTTTGATAATTGCATTAAACAATTTCTTGCAGCTGTTTTGATGGTGAGGGGAAAGATGTTCAATTCCACTGAGATTTAAAGCTTCCTCATATTTCAAATGGGGATAAATAATTCCAAATACGCGTTTCTGGACTCGTTCCAAATCTTGACTTAAATACTTGGGTAGGCTGTAGTGGAAAACCGGGACAGCATAGTCCAACACAGATCTTATACAGGTTGTGTAAAATGTGATTAGTTCTTGTATTGGGATTTTTGCTCTCTTAAGTTGAATAAGGAAATATATCCTTTTGGAGGCTTTCTTGACTAATTCAGTGATATGTTTATTCCACGTAAGGTTGTTGCTAATGTTAAGACCAAGCACTTTAAAATCGGATACAGCTTCTATGATTTGATTCTCAATTGAAATTGGGTTAAGCTCGGGTTGATTCCGTGCAAAAGAAATTCGTATCTCCTTACATTTATCAGCATTTAATTGCATTCTATTGATATTGGACCAATCTAAAATTTCATTTGCAATCAGTTGAGCTTCACTGTGCTCGCCTTGCAATACAACTTCCGACGCAGTGGTATCGTCAACGTATTTCCATAAGTTCTCACTATGTTTCTTCAAATCATTAATCATTATTAAGAAGAGCTAAGGGCCTAATTTGGTTCCTTGAGGAACACCAGCCGGTACTTGGCCCCATTCAGAAAGGCAACTATTTGACAGCTTAACCCTTTGAAATCTATCCGATAAAAAGTCGATAATCCAGTTGATGATACTAGTTGGTAAATCTAAAGCACCTAACTTGATCCTTAGGATACTATGATCGATGAAATCGAATGCCTTTTTATAGTCAAATAGAAACACTCGGATAGTTGCTCCTGTTCCGTCCAGCATTGAGGTCCAGTGATGTAACATGTCTATTAAAGCAAAAGTGGTTGAAGAGTTAGGAATAGAACCAAATTGATTTGAGTCGATGGATTTCAGAACCGCAGGTTTGATATATCTATTTACCACACATTCTTCAGCTACTTTGGATATGCTCGGGGTCAGTGAGATAGGTCTGAGATCTTTTTCTAAGATTTGAACTGTCTTAGATTTAGGTATAGGTAAAACATTGGCTAGTTTCTACATCGATGGAAGTCGTTGTTGCTTGAAGGAAGCATTTAAGATGGTACTAATTGGGAACGCTAATATAGCTGCATAATCACGAAGAAGCCAATTTGATATTTCATCAGCACCACAAGTTTTTGTAGGGTTCAGCTTTGATAAATATGAATACACTGTTTCTTCAGTGACTACTAAAAACTCAGGGTTGTTAACTTCTAGCTCGAAAGGAAGAAGGGGGCTGGGCAGTTTATATACAGATAAGGGATCCAAGAAAGCTTCATTGATCTTGTTAGCTAATTCTTGCTCAGATAATTGTTCGAGGTTTTCAATATCTATTATATTTCTAATATCACTAGATCTAGTAGATGCCATTCCACTTAAACGCTTTACTTCTTTCCACCATTCCTTGGAGTCTGTTTGTTTCATTTGATGTACACGGAGTTTATAATAGTTTGATTTACAGATTTTCCTTTCTCGATTTACTTGGTTTCGAAGAGATTTAAAACTGCTCGAGTCAGGGCCATAGGTAGAAAAAGCTTTCTGCCTTTCAATGATCAGCGATTTGAAATGGTTCGTTATCCAGGGGGCATCGACAGGACATTTCTTTGATCGTGTCATCGGCATTAATATATTAACCCCAGTAAGGACTATGTTTTGAAACATGTTCGATAACTGATCACAATCATTAGTAGATGGAATAATTTGAGGCCAATCAATCGAGTTTAGATATCTTCCCAGGGCTCGTTTGGAACTTGGATTAATATTACGCTTAAAGGTGGTGCCATTAGAGATTAGATCTTTAGCTCTTTCCTTTGGAGATGAAATGATAGTATTGTGGTCGGATAGTCCAAAAGGGGGCATTATTAGAGGTTTTTCATAATACTCGTGCAGATTAGTTAAGATGATGTCAAAGAATCGCATTTCTGCGGGTAGGAGTCTGAACTATCTGTTTCAGTTGAAAATGATGTTTGATTCTGTTAACATTAAGACGATTAAAGTCACCTGCAACAATAAGTGCGCAGTTTAGAAATTTTGACTCTGCCTTTTTTAATGACTGGAATAAATGGTCTCTCATAGAATAATCATCTGCTCCAGGGGGGTGGTATACTATAGCTACGATAATACATGAGAACTTGCGTGGAATACGAGTAGGTCTAAGGTGCAGCCATAGGATTTCGTGCTCCTGGCAGCAAGATAACTCTAAAATCTGTTTATATTTAACATCTCGGTTATTAACGTATGCACAAACCCCACTATATTATCCGCATTTTACAACATTTCGCAACGAAACTTTGGAATATTACTAATTTTGTGATGCTCTTTCAAGCTGTGATGAAATTGTTGCCCAGGCGTATCTCGATCAAAATTTCACTCATAAGGGGAAAGGTCTATTGACTATTCATCCTCGTCCCCAGCAAAAAAAACAACAAAACAATCAATTGGCTATACATTCTCGTCCCCAGGGCCTCTCGGCCGCGCGCGTCCTCTCTAGGCACATAAAAATTCTGTGCCCTAGACCCTGGGACACACGGAACCGGAAGTGCAAGAAAACTTGCAGTAGTTTCTAAAGCGCGTGCTCTTGAATTGGGACGCTGGGAATTGCTGGCCGTCTCCCCATTCACATATAATATGACTCTTTCATTATTTTATAGTTTTGTCAGTATAATATTAGGTGTGAGAAATGTAACAAGTTGATAAATCATGCAGTAAACAGTGGCGGAAATTCACTTTTTCCGGCGGGGGGGGAAAGACTCCTAAATTTCCGACAAAAACCTTCAAATTTCCGACAACCCCCATTTGCACTAAAAAAATGTTTTTAGCCCTGTTTTAGGGCAAAATTTCCGACCCTCTCCCCCCCCCCCGAGATTTCCGCCACTGGCAGTAAATAAATTATCAATTACCATTCCAGAATTCCAGTTATGTAGTTAGAATAAAAGGAATCGTTCTCTGACATAAAATAATTTATTTTGACGAGCTTTCGACCACTAGAATGTGGTCTTCTACAGGTACATATATGACTAATGAATAGTCATATACCTGTATATATATAGCTAGTGGCCAAAAGCTCGTCAAAATAAATGATTTTTGGTCAGAGAACGACTCTTCATTAAATCATTATGCCTTTAACTCACCGCGCTTCATCCATATTTCTATTAATAGTTAGATAATAATTTTGGGTTTTCCGAAAAAATTTGAGTCATTTTGATACGGTTTTCGACGCTCACAATACTAAAAACAGTGGGAACGTATATTAGAGTATTTATTAATTAAATACATAATTACAATATTCATTGAAAATCTATTTTTCTAGAGCAATACATTAATTAATTATTTAGGAAATACAATTATATTGTCTTTTTGTTCCAAACATTACTTGTTCTTGTCTAATTTACAAGAAAATGAGTAAACTTAATTAATAAGTAATACCAGCATCCTCTTTGTCAAGATCAAATGAATGATCTTCAAATACAATTTCATTTCTTTTTCGTGCACATGTGTTAAAACACGAGGTTTTGCCCTGAAAACACAGCATACAGTTATGCTTGCCACACGTTCGAAAGCAACCTCGCCAAATTCCCATGCATTTATTGTAACAACTTTCTCTCTTCCTCAATTCCATGGCGTAGGCGTTCACATATAAAACCACAACCATTATAAAAATAACTTGAAAGGCTTTCGACATTCTAGATGAAAAAAATGAATTAAACTTTCATTACAACTATATACTATATCAGGGTTTATTTTAAGAAAAATTTAGAACTGCACATTTAGGGATGTTACAAAGGCAACGGGTGTTTGACAGGGGGGGTCGAAGGCTTTTTTACCTGCATATAGGTGACAGAATAATGGTGTGGTTGGGTGGGAGAATTGGAGAAAGGCCAGACAAACTCGATTTTGTGTGCGGGAGCTAGGGGTGTTCCCCAAAACAATTTGAATCTAGAGGCTCCTAGTTCTGGGAATGTGGGAATCATGGATATTCAATATATAACAACCTTAAATTTGCATTTGAGGCAGCAACGAATATTAAGTTCTCCCCCCCCAATTTTCCAATATGGCGGATTTTAATGGCGGCTGCCAAAATTCAAACTTCATCGTCGTATAACTCAGGCAAAATATAAGATATCACGCTAAAATTTTGCGTGACAGCTTCATTATACGCATTCTTCACAATCATGGAAAAAAAACAGAAATGAAAATTTGGTCACAGTGGCTATTTTGTTAGTTTGGTGACTGCACATTGGTGTTTTAAGAACTGCACAAATGGGTTTAGAACTGCACATTTTGTGTAGAACTGCACGTTAAAATAAACCCTGCACTATATTTTGTATCAAGAATGATGATAAACTCATCAGTGGCGCGCCGCAATCTCCGTAGACAGTCGCACACCTCATTAATACGTAGCATTGATCCGCGTCCAGGACACCATGTTCCAATTCCAATTCTTAAATTTATTATATAGTAGAGTGAGATACTGAAAAATACACAGTGAGATATTTTCTATATCTTCACTAGTGAAGATATCGATCACATGACTTTTTCCAATTTGCTTTTGAGCGTGAAATTTCATAATTTTTTGCTTGGGACTATATAATAAACAGAACATTACACGCGGTGGCTTGAAGATGACTTTTATCTTCTCGTGTTAAAAACAATATTTTACTCATTCGCTGCGCTCGTTCGTAAAATTTTGTTTTCACCACTCGAAGATAAAAGTTATATCTTCGCGCCGCCATGGAATATCCTCTATATACCCTCATGCATGTTTCGCGCAGAATATAGGGTTAGAGAAGGAGCTGGGATTGAGTCAAGATCAAAGAGAAATATATTCATGCGCGAAACATGAAGATATTACCCTCAATCCTGAAATTTCACATCAGTTGGCCGCTATCTTGGAATTGACCGCGAAGTGAACTGGATCCTAGTCGATATTCCACTGGGAGACTTCCGGCGGAAGTACAGTGAACTTCCTAGTTCCTAGCGCGGTAAGCTTAGGATTTAGCTAACCTGAGTATCAGGCCGTACTTTTTAGGGCACAGACACGCCTGATCGCGGGCGAAGGGGAGAAAAGTACGGCCTGACACAAAAGCGGCATTTTGCCTGGTTATTCAGTCCAGAATCTGGACTGAGCGCTGATTGGCCAATTAGACAAACGATTTTTTAAATCTGTCATTTGATTGGCTGGTGCTAATTAGATTATACTATTGTTGTTGATAGTATAACGATCACAACTACAATTATAGCCGGCCAACTAAACGGCTGAATTTAAATTAAAACTGCAGTAAAATTAGAAAATAATCGCAAATTAGCGAAATATATTGCAAATGTAGCTTATATTAAATCGCCATCACATTGCACTATCGACTAACTGACGTATAGTTATAAAGTATACTTAAGCCTGTTTTATACGTCGAATTTCGGTCGCGTCGAATGCAATTCAAACAATAGATAATGAAGCTTAATGAGGTTTATCATCTCATTATCTATTGTCTTAATTGCATTCGACGCGACCAAAATTCGACGTATGAAACGGGCTTTAATATATATATATATATATATATATATATATATATATATATATATATATATATATATATATATATATATATATATATATATATATATATATATATATATATACTTTATAAATATACGTCAGTTTGTTGATAAATACGGCAAGCGCCATGTAAAGCTCATTGTAGTCACTGAAACCTCTGCGGAGGAGAGAGCAATTGGGTGGCGATTTAATATTAAGCTACATTTGCAATATATTTCGCTAATTTGTGATTATTTTTGTTAATTTTATAAGTTCATTGCAGTTTTAATTTAAATTCAGCCGTTTAGTGGGCTGTTATGCTGTTTAGTGGGCTGAAATTTAAATTTCTCCTGCGACATTTTGATTGGATACTAAATATAAACTTTGCTGTGGGCGGAAAGCGATCAGGTTAAGTTTTGTGTCAGGCTCTATTTGTAAAATAGAGCCTGATACTCAGGTTAGGATTTAGCCAGAGATCGAAGCTAAGAGGCGATCGAAGCTTTTTATGATTTCTACTGTTGTTTTTCCTTCTTTTTGGTTATGAGGAACTTCAATATATTGTGAAATGCCAGGTATTTTTTATCTGAGATTTTCAAAAAGAATTTTCAAAATAGCAATGTTAAGGTCTGTAGCGCAGGCTACTGTAACGTACTAATCTTATTCAGCAAATACTTAATGAATATGAAAGTTTAATATAATAGAAAAGTAAAATAAACCTTCCATTATTATACTGTAACTCGAGAAGCGTGTAATGAGCGAACTCATGCAGTCTGTAAAGTTTTGGCTTTGGAAGGAATTAATTTCCTGCATGAAAATTTTTGCAATTAGCTATATGGAAATCTGGGCAAAATTTCTGGCGAATGTTTGCAAAATGCACTTGTGAACCAAAAACCAAGCAGATTTGTGATCTTTCTATTTGACAAAAACACTTCCTGACTGCACAGTACGCCACAGTAATCCGGTACGCGACGCGGCGTAAAAATCACTCCGCTTTGGAGGTGATATGAAAAGTAATCCGGTATGTGCCGAAGCAGTATAAGCAGGCCAATCTGGTACGCGTCGGTACAAAATCGGTTTTGGCGTGCACGTTTTACCATTGTCGCCTTCACTATTTCTGGCGAAGACAAATAAAGAAAACGATAATAACATTGACTTTTCGCTTTCGATAGGGCAAAATTTAAAGAAATACTCGTTAATTTTGCATTAGAGCGAAACGAAGCAACGTCTGGTAGTCAAGCTTTTTAAACAAAGTTATACTTTACAAAGAAAACGTGTGTTACTTCTTGTTTTTAATAAATTTTAGTATACTGGCCAAAAATATAACTTGTTTCCATGGCGACAACGAGACACGAGCTGGCAACAGAGCGAAGCGACATGCATATATAGTTTGAACACCCGTGTTTTTTATTTCGGAGTGAAAATCAATCCGGTATGAAAATCAATCCGGATTGTTGAAAAGTTGGCAAAATGTTACTAAATGTTCCTTATGTTCACTTTCACCGTGGAATAGTGTATAAGTCCATACTCCATATAGTAGTCAGCCACGCGTCAGAGCCTGACGCCGAAATGTTTCTATTTCAGTCACAAAATACACATACACATTATGCATTAAACCTTGGTTAAAATTTGACCTGCTGTTTTAGTTTATATATTTCTGCGCGTCTGTTTATCTCAAAACTTTAGAGAAGAAAACTCGTACTGATTCAAACAATATTTCTGAAGAAATATTTCCAAATTTATAAACAACCTGTCAGGAAGTTTGCTTTGAATTTTATGTTAACCACAATAATATAACACTGAATCACTGATACTTACATGTCACTTGAATCTACCTGCTTCTAGCTCTTGTTGTAACTCAGTTAGCTCACTTCAAAACTGTTGAACACTATTTTGCTCGTCTCATTTATTTATACCGCCGCCATAAAAGCCTTTGAAAAGAATGTTATTTGCTAAGCCTAAGCAACTAATTATAATTAACTATAGCGGTCCAGCTGGTTCCCACTAATGTGGCCTAAATTATCAGCGTGAGATGAGATGATAAGCGCGCGTTTGAATCCTATCTCGCACTATTTGAGAGAAGTTTTAAAAATGCATGCAATTGACTTGTTTAATGTTCTCCTAATTACCACTCTAATCACATCTCAACTTGATTACACAGTATTTTGTCAAGTGTTTTAGTCCATTTCAGATTTGACAAGAGATTGTGAAAAGATTACAGTGATAGAGTTCTTTGTGATATTAATGGAAACACTAAGTTCATAACAAGTTTTTCACTCACACAATATTTATCGTCATGAGTAATAAAATATGCATCATGTACTGTAGGCGTATTTAAATTCTCACGAATGGCCCAGGTCTTGCTGTTTTGTCATAGCTTTCACTTTTAGTATGAAAATTTTATATGAATATGCTTCCCTGAAGATATTCAACTATTTTTTTAATATATTGCGGTGCCCAAACGAAGTGTGACATCGCTTTATATTCTTTTGTTCGCTATTAGCCGTGTCATTTATTCAAAAATAATACGTTTTTGCGCTTGTGGTGCACTTGCTTTGCTCATGCTCCAGGCACCGCACTGTAGTATAATACCTGGTTTGTTTTTATAATCATATATATAGTCGTGAACGAAATTAAATAATGTTGTATTCTTCTATAACATGGTGTATATCGGTTTAAATTTTTCATTTCCACTGAAATACTGCTTGAAACAGGTGTTGAAAGATAAGGAATTGGAGTAACTGCATCAGCCATCTGTCGCCTCATCAACGTCAGCATCTAATGTGTTCTCGAAGTTCGAACTTGACTTGTCCACTATGTACACTGCATAGATATTAATATATAAATCATAATGCTAGCTATAACCTATATACTTTTTCTTTTCTCAAAAACGTATTCAATATCTCTAAATAAATAAATCCTAATTACTATCTAATTACTTGTTCAAAAAAGTTTGAACTTTCCTACGTATTGCAAACTCATGCGTGGTTGAAGTGGTTGAGCGTGGGCATCGCCGGTATAAAGCGTTTTTCATACGTGCGTAGGACGCACGGAAAAATTAAAATCCATGGAATAAGTTTAAATCTATTTCCGAACAAAATTACAGCATTTACTTTTCTACATGATTTGAAGTGTAATTGTTGAGATAATTTTTAGAAATCAAATATAGAAATATCTAAACTTTTCCGTACGTGTGGCGTACGTGTGAAAATAAAACGCTGGAAAGGTGCTGATGCGGATGGATTTATTGGGTGCGAAACGTCTTCACAATTACATCTACAGTGTTAAATGCTACTTCATCTTTAATTTCCACTTTTAATGATCGGTAATCACGTGGCCATTGTCACGCATTCTAAATCATATATTTTTGCGGCAGGGGTGTAGGAGAGGGGGACTGAGCACTCCCCTGTTAAAAATTTATGCCGATTGGGAGCTGAACTCCCAATATTTTTGCAGCTGGATTGCATAGTCATAACTTGGAAAGGTTTTTGCGACTGTAGTGTTGCAATGATGAGATCAAGACTTTAGTAATCTTTACTTGATTACTATTATCTTGTCATTGGATGATTTATGAGGATCCAACATGAAATAGTTTACTAACTTTACTGCTATTCAGAGTTTCCATCGGAATGTTTTATTTCAAGTTGAATCCTTTCTTCAAAAAACACTAATTGAAGAATGGTAGAACAAATGATCAACATGATGAGAGTTGGCAAGCGAGAGTTTGCATGAGCGTTTTCTCAACTCTCAAACAAGAACAAGAGTTGCATGAGAGTTGATGAGAGTTGCCATGTGACAGTTTGCATGAGCGTCAGTTTTCTCAACTCTCGTGCCCCGATCAAACAAGAACAAGAGTTGCATGAGAGTTGATGAGAGTTGCCAAGTGAGAGTTTGCATGAGCGTCAGTTTTCTCAACTCTCGTGCCTCGATCAAACAAGAACAAGAGTTGCATGAGAGTTGATGAGAGTTGGCAAGCAAGTGTTTGCATGAGCGTTTTCTGCTCAACTCTCGTGCACCGGTCAAACGAGAACAAGAATTGCACGAGATCTGATGAGAGTTGATTGGATATTGCCGCGCGAAACCTCTCATCAACTCGCATCAAAATCTGAAGCTGCTCAAAGTTGATGAGAGTGCATGAGAGGTGCATTTATACACTGTTAATATTCGGACTCTATTAGATAATAGAATTGGAACATGAGAAACATGCATGTTTGCAGGTTGTGTCTATATAGAATAGAGGTGTGCAAATCCGATCAGATTCGTTCGGATTTCGGAACAAAAATATTCATTTCGGATTAGATCGGATTGATAAAGTTGTTTCGTAGTCGGATCTGACTGCGATATTCGAAATAAAATGAATTAATTATAAATATAATAGTTATTATTTGGTTAAATATTTCCACTTGAATGAGAAAGTTATTTTATTGAAGGATTCTTCGGATCGGATCGTAATTCTTTTATATCAAAATTCGGATCGGATTCGGATTAGACAATTTCGGATCGGATTTTAAACATTAGCCAATTGTCGGATTATAAACGTCCAATCCGATCCGATGCACACCTCTAATATAGAACCTCCTCGCCCTTTCAACTGCAGAATTGCCGATTTCAGGTCATTTTTCAAAGCGCGGTTCCCAAGTTTGTTGTAAATATTCCCGTGTGGAACTTGCAAAAGCAACTTTGCAAGTTGCGTACTAAAGCCTGCCGCACACGAGAGGAACGTGCTGAACTAACCGCCTCGCGTGGTGGCTAGCTCAGTTATGCATTTTAAAATCATCAGGCGGCGGCTAGCTCAGTTATGCATTCTGCACCGTAACTTGGGTATTACGGCTGGGGGGATGTGAGCTTGTTTTGCCTGACCAAAAGGGCATGGTGGAAGTCGTATTTCAGACGATAATTAATATTTCTTTTCCCAAAATTGTCGGACATACCATTTTTCACTAACTTACCGAAATTTGTACAATTTTTTAGTAATATTTTCGTAGATTTATCAAAACATCTCCCTACATTTATTACTTTTCAAAAAATTATATAAACGTTTTTGCCGGAATTACATATTTTGTTGCCCGAAGAGTGTGTCGTTAAAATTGCCCGACAAAACTGCAATATTACAACATTGGGAGGGAGTCGCACCCCACCCCCCTCACACACACACACATGCACACACACACACACCTCACCCCACACACCCCGAATTACGCCCCTGATCCGCAGACGTTGAGATTTTTTCTTCGCGAAGTGAAAAATATCAAACACGATAGATATTTTCCTCAAGGCCTCGAGAGGTCAAATCTTCACGAAAATTATCCGCACACGAGAGGAACTTGCTGAGCTAGCTGCCACGCGAGGCGGTTAACTCAGCAAGTTTCTCTTGTGTGCGGCAGAAGTATTGAACTAAGGCCCGTTTCAGACGTCGAACTTTTCATGTGCCGATTCGAATGCATTAAAGACAATAAATAATCAAATAGTTCAGATGATGATCTATTGTTTTTAATGTATTCGGCACATTAAAGTATCGAAGTATTGAACTACCCCAAAAAGGTCGTGACTAAAGGACTAGAGGCAGGTTTTCAAGATGGCTGCCAGTTTTTAAGATCATTAAAACGTAAAAGAATCAACAATCAACCACTTGCAATAATACTAAACCTCACCTCACAGCTAACTCTAATCCTAACCCCCATACTAATGCTAATGCAAACTCTTATTTCTGAACTATAGTCTATAGGCCCTATGGCAGGGATTGAACCTGCAGCCGTGCGATTCCGGTCCTGCGCTGTAATCAACTGAGCTACACCGATCAGCCGTCGCACTCGATAAAGTGTCTATATTTAATAGATATTTCACAAAATCATGCACTTTGTGAAGAAAGCACCAAATTCACAGGAAGTGTAGACTTTAACATGATAATGAATCTTAGATATGGAGGCATCACCAAAATTGATGCTGACGGCTTAAAATTTAGGATTTCTTATATTCTCTTATGAATCTCTTATACAATTAATAATTGTGAAATTGCAGGTTCACATATAGCAAAAATGACATGCTTCATTAGAAAGCTTACAAAGTCTACAAAAAACTGCATATAAGACATTTAAACAGTTACTTTGATTTTCCAACTCCTCTGGAGTTATGAGCGGTTGAAAATATGTTTTAGGGCTAGTGTCCAGGACTTTGGCGGGAATTTTGCCTATTTATCACGTTTTTAAATAGCAATAACTGGAAAACCGCTTGGAAAATCAATCAGCCGTTTAAAAGTCTTATATGTAGTTTTTTGTATGCTTTCTAATCATGGGAGTCATTTTTGCTATTTGTGAACCTGCAATTTCACAATTTTAAACATAAGAAATCCTAAATTTTAATCCGTCAGCATCAATTTTGGTGATGCCTCCATATCTAAGATTCATTATCATGTTAAAGTCTACACTTCCTGTGAATTGCGTGCTTTCTTCAGAAAGTGCATGATTTTTTACTTTTCCGCTGCACTATAAACTCTTGTTTCAACATCTTGAAATAGTTGCATATTTAAAATGCGGTAAATGTTTACGATGCACTTGCATTTGTTTAAATAACTAACTTTGTCATGTATATATAACAATACGTTTGTGTCAACAAAATTAGGTCATCATGTCTCATACTTAACCCGTTATTTTGTTAATACATTGAAATAATTTCTATGCCTTTGAATGATGTTATGAAGTCACATGAATTTTAAACACTCATGCAGAGTAGCATGTTTTTTGTTTTTCGGGAGGAGGCCATGCATACGATTGCTCCCCACAATGCCCCACGTCTTTCATATTCGTCTACCAGTCATGGGAATGCATGTGTTCAGTCTTGTAGGTCTTATAGTGTTCAGAAAGCTTCGGATTGATAAGAATACAATTACCTGAAAAATACAATTGATGTTCTCTTGTGTTTTTCAGGTAGTTGCAGGTTTCTTATTATTGCATGGCACGACCTGCACTGACCGTTCAAGCGTATAGTATTCAGTTGAAGCGCACGTGATTTCAGACTGTAGTAATGGCATGATATATATATTTCTTTGGGCTTTTAGGGTTTTACGCAGTGCTTTTAAAAATTCATTTATCATGCAATGCTTATGTCAACCAACCAGGACAGCTGGAAGCATAACTGTTTAAAAGAATTCCCCTTTAGATCAAAACAGATAATTTCACTTATGTCGTTATTGTTTTCAAACCACTATTTTTCATGATAGGAAATGTTAAATAGATTATGTATGAGATGTTCTTCAAGATAAAGTTGTCTCGCACATTTTCACAAAACGCCCATTACGCCCTTGTCTTTACATACACTCGCTGTATCCACGCGGGATGAGCTTCCCATTCGAGTCACACCATTGTGCAGTTGCGCAAACACATGAAGAAAATTGAACATAGTCAAACTTTCTATTGTTAGTTACCGCCAGTCCCTATTGAGGGCTGTTTTAATTGCAAACGAAAAGTTGTTCAATTACAATCTCTTTTATTGCCAGCATACGAACTTTCGTTTAAGCCTTGTGACTTATTTCAATATATCAATATTATAAACTTCTAGTGAAAACTTGAATACTAGAAAAAGTACAAATTTATTGGTTGGACTATTTAAGAAATGGAGAGCATTAATTAAGGAACATCGGCGAAGACATGGAGACATACGAGGTTCAAGAACTTGACAAGTTCACAATTAACTTACGAATAAATTTTGCCCTCAATGATTCACAAGTAATCGCATAGTTCCTCGTAAAATTAAGGTTTAATTTCATTTGTGTTTTCAAAGTTTCACAAATTGTGAAACCGCTTTGAAAACTCGCGTGAAATTAAACCTTAATTTTACTCGGCCCCATGCGATTACCTATACTAATAAAAAATTTCACGTCACATATTTCGAGAAATTTTGTATATTTCAGACACCCTCACCCTACTTGAACCTCTTCGCGACAACCCTGAAATTAGTAAGGAATCATGTCCGAATCCCACTGATGTGAGAAATTGGAATGATCAGTAACACCGCTGTACATTTGTAGTCCAATATATCTTAACACTTACACTATCCAGTGTTAGTTTGGAGATCAGTGATCATCCATCCACTTATGAAGGTTTCTCAGCCCTGGGAACGAGAGTGAAACACATAGCAACCAATGGCGTAACGGAACCTCCGGAGATCCCCCGTCAAATGTTTAAGTGGGGCTCTATTTTTCCCAATGGGCAATGTGCCCAATCTAATAGCAACAATGTTATGGTAATTTTTGCCGGGCCCCCCTACGCGTGGGCCCCCCGTCACTAAAACACCACCCCTCCCCAGTTACGCCACTGAAAGCAACATTTCTCATCTTTGGCTTAATGTTCAAACATGTTTAGATCCATTTACACGATGCTAGTCGTACACGATTGTCATTCTGGCGTATGGAAACGACTCTTGACGCCACCATTCCTGCCATCAGTTTATGACGAAATTTGAAATGTGACATCTTTACTTATCATCTTTACGCTAGGATGAGAATCGTATACGACTAGTGGTGTCGTCTAAATGGGAATTTACAGTAGAACAAGTTGCAATCGTACGAAGGATTTTTACTCCAGAACGTTTTAAGAAAAATCCACACTGCACACATAGGGATGTTGCAAAGCACCTGAAGTTAAGAGGGGAGGGGAGGGGGGAGGGGGAGAAATTTACCTAAGGATTTTTACCTGAAGTGTAGTAGTTGCCGTGGCAGACCTTTCAATGCATTGATTGTCATTTCAATAATATTTTTGCTTTCTAGAGGAAAATACATGAGGTCCGGAGGTATTCCCCCAGAGTATTTTCGTATTTTTTGAAACTCGATGACTACATTTTTGGCATTTTCTGAAGCGTCCAAAAGAACGATCATATGTTTGGCCACGTACCGAAAATTATTGTGAAAATTTAGATTTTGTAAACGCACTTTTATATTTTTAGAACTGTTCAAATAGATTTAGAACTACACATTAAAAAATATCCAATGTTTGGTGGCGTGTTAATATCAAACAATGCAAACTGCGAATACAAACTGCAATTAGACTAATTTGTTTTACTCAATATAGCCATGCAATAATTTATGTTTTCTCAATATGGCCACTTGAATGCAAATAGAATCTAATTAACACATGCACGTGATCGGTTAAACATTTTTAGCCACATGGTTGATATATTTTGGTTAAGTGTTAAAAATATGCGTCATACTTGCGCACATTGCAAGGTGAGAATGACGCGTGCCGCTTGAGATATTGGCATAGAACGCTCATTGAAAATGTTGTTTGCATATCCATCAATATCAGCCATTAACTAATTGTTATCTGCGTATTTAGCAAATGTGGTGCATTAATATATGCAAGAAGTTTCATACTACTAGGCTTAAAGGGTGTATCCTTTCCAATTAAGTATCAAACTATATTTTGCCTGAATATTTTCTGGATGATTATCATGAAATAAATTCTACATTCGTATATATTCTTAATAATTTTCCCGAGGTTGCTTGATTTTCCTGGGGTTTTTTTGCGGGGAACAACGATATTCTCGAATGGAAAATGCATGGACATATGTAGAAGGGTTTTGCAGATGGAAATTGCGAGTGTAAATTATACACATTTATTAGACCTGGCCAGGTGCAGTTGCGAAAAATGCAAGTATATGATGCCCTCTGGCAGGCAGTCCTACGATTCCGTGCAGAGCTCTAACCAACTGAGCTACGATCACTACAGAGCAAGCTACTCTTGCAAGTTTCCATCCACAAAAACCTTTCTACAAATTGATATTGAGTGCCGAGGCCCAAAATCCAAATGGATAAAATAGAGCTAAGTACTGCAGGGAAAACCATAAGGCTGCAAAGAGTCGAATGATATCTAGAGAGTTTTAAAGCATTTAATTCAGGGATTGACATGATCATAAAATAAAATAAAACTACACTATCATAAGGGCTGCAAAGGTGTCAGGGTTGAATGATATCTAGAGAGTTAAAACATTTAATTCAGGAATTGACATGAAATAAAACTAGCCGTTGTTTCTTTGTGAAATATCACGGACATCATGCACAAAATTTAGTTGAATGATCTATATTTACTGGGTGTTCTTTCAACCAATCAAATCTTCGGATCCTGCGCAGCTGTTTGAATAAATTAAACGCAGATTGAGCTGTATAATTAAGCATTGTTTAAAAGTATAACTCTACACATGCTGGGGCGAGCTAGACCTCCTTCAATGAGGTGGTGAGAATTTTCATTTCATTTCATTTAAACTTTATTTAACGATGCCAGCACATAATAGTTTTACAACTAATAAACATGAGGTATATAGTATGAGTCATTACTTTGGTATATTAGCCTATGTATATACAAGCGGACATTTTCTAAAGTTTTAACATTGCAAACATGGATTATGCAAAAGTCTCCAACTCCGGTACATAGGCTCAACATTTACATACAGTAGGCTGTTCCGAGGCTGTTTGGCTGTTTTGAATTTTTAAATTACCCGCTACAACTCGATATAACACATTTTCAAGATATCTATTTACCTAACGTTTTGAAGTATTTTAAAAGTTTTATATTTATGAATTCACGCTTGATTTTAATTCAGATACTTTAATTCAATAATTCGGTCTATATCAAAACAGTTCAATTTTTGGCGAATGAAGGCAACACTTGCCGACTCGTTCATGAGTGGGGGAGGAGTGTTCCATCTTTGTCAACAAAAATATAGCCACACAAACCCCTATACACACAAACCCCTATACACTCCCCCTAACGCCCCCTGACTCTACTTTGGCGTATTGCTGAATAAAAACCTAGCAGAGTACTTGTCTTATTAAGGTAAACATATATAGGTGTACGAGTTTGGGGGAGGGAGGGGGTCGGCCCCCAGTTAATTAATTAGTCGGGCAGCTTCTACTTAAAAAATCGGGCAATTACTGGCCTGCTCAACTCAGTATATAATGTATTCTATCTTATGTAGGCTATTAATTAAAGAACGGAATTCCAAAAATACTCGTAAATAGTTCTATAATCAGTTTTGACTTTTTTCCGTGTGTCTGTATAGGAGAAACTAGGAGATATGTTCCTGCTATCTACCTTATATTCATTTCAAGATTCTTCACAACTTTATTGGGAATATTAACAATAACAATAAATAGGTCATTGCATGCATGAAGGGTTTGAATCCGGGTTCTTCCATTAATTTATTGTACGATCATCCAGATTAATCTGGATGAACGTACAATAAATTAACAGTAAATATATACGGGTATTGCCCAAAAGGAGAAGTTCGAACGGGTCAGGAAAAGCCCATGAGGGGCACTCCTCTTATAAATTTTACAATTAAATTTACATTACACTATAAACTACAGTTGAGGTAAAGCTCGATTTGCGCATAACCCACAAACTGATCCCTCAAATACGCATAAATGGTAGATTTTGCGAAAATTGTACAGAAAAGAAAAGTAACTTGGTTTTGAAAACATGCGACTTGGGCATAAAACAAACTTTACTTCAATCAAAGAACTTTACATTATTTTAATTTCTGTAACATGGGCAGTCACGAACAAGAGACAAAAGGTACATGCATGGCATGTTTATTACGTAACTGAACGAATAATTCCGACGAAGAAACTTCCTAAAACTAGATAATGTCAAGAAGCTATTAGGTGAAGCAGTTCTACACATAAATTAACTGTTCTATTAAAGTAAGAAGAAATCTTGAATGTATATAGTTGTTCCACATAACGGCACTTGAAGTAATAGACTAGGATTTAAGGTTAGTCCCTGAGAACGATCATGATTTAGGCTATAAAACTATAACCTAATTGCTTATGTGCATAATAATGTCGGGCAATTTCCACAATGTCGAGAAAATTTTTGAAAATAAAGATATTTATATTTGGGCCAAATGGACATACATTCTGTAAAGAGCATGGCATCTATAAAGTAACTCAGAAAGTAATATGCCTTTCACTGATAATTATGTCAGCTATTTGCTCTCTGCAAGACAATATATTGAATTTTCCTGTACGTCCGATTTCATCATTCGTATACATCTAATGTAGTGCCAATAATAAATCTGCTAAATCTAAAAATAAAGGAAACTCAACGGGATATCATGTGCTTTTATTTTGTAAACTGTGTCATATTTTCAATGCTTATTTAACCAATAGCTCTGTGTCTAAGCGAAGCACCTGTCCGAGTTACCGCTGATGTGACTTGCGGTATAAACTGGCATGTGTTTCAGTTAACTCCATGAGTTCACAGAAATTGTGGTCAAAGGAGAGCCAATGTTCGGAAGACAGCCTTGAAATTGAACGCTCCAAAGACTGTGACTGTCAGGGAGAACTTGACAGCAAGACATGAGGAATTAACTCAGGGTATAAGAAGTTGAAATATTAGCAACATATCAACCCAGAAATCTAACTGATAATATATATAAATAAAGTGCTACAATACACAATTCACTGTATTAAATATAGATGTTGGGTTTTCTTTATGCAACTATACACTATGTACAGCAGGGACAGATAGCAGAAAAGAAAATTGGTTATTATGTATTAATATACAAAGCACCAACAGTCCAACAGCAATCTTTTATCAGATTTATAACACGAGGCGATACCGAAGTGTTTTACTGAATATAGATCTGATGAAACATACTGTGAGTGTTTTGAATAGCTTCAGAAACGATCTATTTGACCTAGCAATTTTGAAAATCAACCTTGTCTAACAGGAGAAATTCAAGGATGAAGTTTATGTAAATCTGATTTCTTTTTTCGACTTTTTGTTTTTGACCCTCATCAATTATATTAATTTTTTAAAGTTTTTGAAATTTATAGATGTATCCTCCTTCAAGTGTATCCTCCTGCAGTTCCCCTTTTTTCATCTAGAAATATCTCAGGTCCCCAGTTTATCACCCATGGCCCCTCCCATAAATAATGAACGGAAGTTTGTGAGGACGGAAGAATTGTAGGGATGCCAATGTGACGGTGAATGAATGTTTGTTTGAAGTTTGAACATTCAACCGTCACATTGACATATCCCTACAATTTACTTACAACTGAAACGATCGCACAAATCTCCTAATTTAT